TACGCTAGAAACAACACCAGAATGTTTCCTTCCTGCCTTCCTTACAGGATTAGCCTTGCAAAGTGGGGAGAAAAACAAAAGGAGGTTTCTTCCAACAACCGGTTCTCCGACCTGCTTAGAAAGTTACCAACCGGTTCTCCCGAATAGGTGCAAACTGGCTGAATCCCACCACTGGTGTGGGTGTGTTTGGGGATTGTTATGTGTGTTGAGCCTGGTCTCTGGGTGTTATGTGAATCTCGTTGTATGTGTAAACTGTGTATATATGTACAATGACAATGAAGTAAAGTAAAGTAAGTAATGTACTATTGCTGGAAATAAGAGAGGCAGTTTCTGCTGTAAACTTGGCACAGTCTCTAGTGGCTACCAATCCTTATCCTCATCCCATGATGTCGAACCTATGGCATGTATGCCACACGTGGCACACAGAGCCCTCTCTGCGGGCACGCGGGCCATCACCCCAGTTCACTCCACCATGCATGCACACGTGCCTCCTGGGGGCAAGCTGATTTTTAGGTCTCTGTTGTGCATGCGTGGGGAGCAGGGCACATGCAGGAGATGTGGGCACATGCATGGGGTGTGTGTGGGGGGAGAGTCCCCTGTGGCCCGTTTCTGTTGCCAGGAGGTTGCAGGGAGGCCTACTGGGCCCAAAATGGGGCATGAGGGGGTGCAGTGCCCCCCCCAAGGTCTACTTTTTGCTTCCAGGAGGCTTCAGGGAGGCCTACTACGCCCAAAATGGGGCGTGAGGGGGTGCAGCGTCCCCCCAAGGTCTACTTTTGCTCCCAGGAGGCTGCAGGGAGGCCTACTAGGCCCAAAGCTGCATGGGGTGGGGTCGCACGCACATTATGGGTGCGGGCATGCATGCACATTTTTGGCACACAACAACAAAAAGGTTAGCTATCACTGTCGTAATCCATCAAATAATGAAAAATTAGTAAACTAACTCCCACCATGATCTCAAGTACAGATTAAGTTCTCAACAAAATGAAAAAAATTTTTTAAAATGAAATGTTGCAAATATCAGGTACTCTCAATTACTAATAGACGGGTTTTTTTTTTGGGGGGGGGATACATTAAATTAAGACCTGAAGGGAGATTTTAACTGACATTTAATACACGCTCTACTTGTACCTACATTGGCAAGCTTTACTATGGGGAAACTTCAGTGTTGACCTACAATGTCTAACTTGCCCTCAAAGAAGTCAACATGAAACAAAGAATTTAATCAAAAGAGTTTGTTACCTCCCAGGCTATTACTAATTCATGCCGTCTTCCACTTCTGCCACTGACATTAGCAGGAGCTGTCTTTGGCACTGTGGACAGAAAGAATAATTAGAGGAAAGAAAATCAATCAGAACATCCAAGTTAGAACATAGAATAATAGGGTTAGAAGCGACCTTGTGGGGGTCTTCTAATACAACCTCCTGCTTGAGAAGGAGACCAACACAATTGCTGGTTGTTGTTGTTTTTTACAAGTTTTAATTTTTTTCCTCTACTGCAAAAAAGTAACACACACACACACATACACACACACACACACACACACACACACACACACACACACACCTACCTTCCCCATAACTGAGTCCCCTTCGGGGGAAAAGGGCGGCATATAAATATAATAAAATGAAAAAATGAATGAAATAACCATTCACTCTATTCCTGGAGTGATTCAAATGTCAGGACATTTCACAGAACATCTCCATTTCCTTAAGAAAGAGAAAGAAAAGTCACTATTCTGTGATTTTTTTAGAGCGGTAACATTAGGTTGCATTCTCCAGCAAATACATAGCGCTATGGCTTAATGCAGGGGGTGTCAAACCGGTGGTGTCATGGCGGTGTCACATGATGTATTGCAACTCCCCCCCCTTCGCTAAACTGGGCATGGGCGTGGCCAGTGCATGATGCATCCAGCCCTGATTTAATGGGATGGGCTGATTCATCCAATGAGGGCTGTATTTCCACTACACTTTGGATTTCCAAAGTATTTATTTTGATATCTTCAGACCACAGTAAGTAGGTATCCAGGAGAATGGTCTAATGCAGTGTTTCTCAACCTTGGCAACTTGAAGATGTCCGGACTTCAACTCCCAGAATTCCCCAGCCAGCATTCGCTGGCTGGGGAATTCTGGGAGTTGAAGTCCAGACATCTTCAAGTTGCCAAGGTTGAGAAACACTGGTCTAATGGGAAATGAAGGTACTAAAAGCACAATCGATGCAACCATTCTGACAGAGGAAAGAAATGCAGGTCAGAGGAAGAAAACCTTTACACAGTTTGAAAAAAACTTTTTACTCACGCTATATTTCTATGACCTATTTTATACTTATTTCATTTTCTCAGTGTTGAATGTTATATGTCTATAAATTGAACGTACTTCTAACACGAATAAAGAAAGCAGAAGAAACCAGTATGGCTGCCCTCCTTTTTCCCCTTCTAAAAAAAACTTAGTAAAGATCTGAAACAAACAAATAAACAAAAAACCAGCAATATACAGGACACGGGAAGAAGGACAGATCACAAAAGACGATTTCAAATAAAAAAAAGGTTAGCCTCACAGAATTTGCTTTAAGCAAATTAAATCTCAGAATGAACTGCCCAGCTACTGAAAAATTATAAGAAAATATTTTGGGTATGTACAAAATGAATGAAAAAAAAAAAGACTTAACTAACAGCTGCTTAATGCTAATAGGGGACGCAGTGGCTCAGGGACTGAGGCTCTGAGCTTGTCGATCAAAAGGTCGGCAGTTCAGCAGTTCGAATCCCTAGCGCCGCATAATGAAGTGAGCTCCTATTACTTGCCCCAGCTTTTGCCAACCTAGCAGTTCAAAAGCAGATTAAAAATGCAAGTAGAAAAAAATAGGGACCATTTTGGTGAGAAGGTAACAGCGTTCAGTGCACCTTCGGCATTTAATCATGCCGGCCACATCACCACAGTGACATCTTCAGACAGTGCTGGCTCTTCGGCTTTGAAACGGAGATGAGTACTGCCCCCTAGAGCCAGAAACAACTAGCACATATGTGCGAGGGGAACCTTTACCTTTACTTAATGCCAATAGATGCTAATTAATCAGAGGTGGGTTGCTGCTGGTTTGGCCTGGTTCGGGTGAACCGGTAGTAGCGACGGCGGGATGCATGAGCAGAAGCATCGTGCACCCCCCCAAAACCGGTAGTAAAAAAATTGGCAACCCACCTCTGTAATAGATGCTACCTGATGGACTTATATAACCTTTTTGAAAAACCTTGTGAAATTTATGAAACAACACACAATTGAAGAAGAGAAAATATTATCCCTTTTGTCAAAAGGGATGGATACCTGAGAAGATTCTAAAAGAAGATTAATCTGCAAACACCTTAAAAACAATGCCCTAAGTTAAGTACCAGAAGACAAAACATATTATTTGTCGTGAATGACTCTCTAGCTGACTCAAAGGGAGGGAGGGCTTGCTAATATCCACAATGAAAGAAACAACACTGAAAATGGTTTTGACAGATTGGAGAAATGGTCTGAAAATAACAGAATGTAACGCAAGATGGACAAGTGCAAAATTGTTCACATTGGAAACAAAAGCCAAATGGCCTGGCTTTTGTAAGAGTTGGGGTACTCAGCTTGCTAATGTTATTTGTGCACAAATTTCCTGGTAGGGTAGTGATTGCAAACTGAATAGGAGCCAGTAATGTGATTAGGCTGGGAAAAAAAAATCCTGACTAATGCATTTAGACCACCTACTAAAATACATCTGGTATCTATTGTTAGGTTAGTCTACATTTAGTCATTCAACATAAAGACAGCTTTTGGGTCTTCTGATATCTGAGGACCTCTGCGGGGTGCAGAATGGCATCAACTACTGGGAAAACTACTGACTCGTTAAGGAGAGAGCTGGATATATAAACAAGCCTGCCTGATACTTTGGAAAGATATAAGCTAGAGGTTATGGGGAAAAACATGGAAGCACTTGGAGGTTTATCTGTGTCCTCAGAGTCACCTAAGTAGTGCTCCTGGTTCCTGTAGTACTCAGGTGACCCTGAGGTAACAGATAAACCTCCAAGTGAATCGACGACCCTCTTTGTTGTTGTTGTTGCTAGTTGCGAAGTCATGTCCGATCCATCGCGACCCCATGGACAACGTTCCTCCAGGCCTTCCTGTCCTCTACCATCCTTTGGAGTCCATTTAAGCTCACACCGACTGCTTTGGTGACTTCATCCAGCCACCTCATTCTCTGTCGTCCCTTTCTTCTTTTGCCCTCAATCTTTCCCAGCATTAGGCTCTTGTCCAGTGAGTCCTTCCTTCTCATTCGGTGGCCAAAATATTTGAGTTTCATCTTCAGGATCTGGCCTTCTAAAGAGCAGTCAGGGTTGATCTCCTCTAGGACTGACTGGTTTGATCACCTTGCAGTCCAAGGGACTCGCGGGAATCTTCTCCAGCACCATAGTTCAAAGGCCTCAATTCTTTGGTGCTCAGCCTTTCTTATGGTTCAGTTTTCACAGTCAAACATTGGAACTGGGAAAGCCTTGAGTATATGCAATTTTGTTGGCAGAGTGATGTCTCTGCCAATGCAAATGACCAGCTGTCTGCAAGGAATATAAATCTTTACATTCCCCACTATCCAGTCAGAGCTAAAGAAGCTTCTTGGATGAGAAGAGAAAAATCTTCAGAAGAAAAAACAAGAGTCCATTTGCCTCCTGAAAAAGCACTTCTGGGATAACCATGACCTGGACGGCTGAGAATCTCTACAGACTCTTGCTCTTGATGTATCCATGATATCTTCAGGGTTTTGTTTTGTGTGCCTTTGAATCCATCTTGACTTCTGGAAGCTACATTTTTACGGAAGTGGTTTGCCATTGTCACCTTCTTCCTAGGGCTGAGAGGGAATTGGAAACCCAAGGTCACCCAGCTGGCTTTGATACCTAAGGCAGGACCAGAACTCTTGGTCTCCTCTCCTGGGCAACTTCTAACTCAGTTCCTTTAATCACTTCATCAAACTGGAACCAGTAGAGATATTGAATATAACAAGCCTTCCTGATGCATTAGAATTTGAAATATTGTTTTCTTTCCCTCTCTCTGCCTGTATCTCCAGCTGCATGCAGCTTTAATAACTTAACAGCATTAATCGTATCCCATACTGTGACATGTAAACCATTGTCTCAGAAGATACGTATCCTTGATGCTATTTTGCTACGGGCACCCTTGCCACCTTGGTCAAGTCACTTTGGCCTCCATTTACCCTGCTGTCCTTCAGTCTGCCTTGGCGATTGGATATCTCGGAGGTATTTTTCCCTTTAATTCTTAATGTGGCTTTTATCATGTTTGAGATTAAACAAGCTCCTGAAATAGAGGTGAGGTTAATCAAGAGAATACAATTCTTCTGCCTGGAATCCACACTGAATATCGGACATTAATACAATTGAGTGAGTCCAGGGGTATTTCACGAGAAGAGTCCTCCACTCCTCTGCTTGCAACAGAATCCCTTAGGCCACCAGGCTTGAAATTTTGGGCTTGGAAACTAGAACTACACTGCCTATGGTCTGACCTAAGCATAGTTCACAAAATTGTCTGCTACAGCATCCTACCTGTCAATGGCTATTTCAGCTTCAACTCTAATAATATATGGGCAAACAATAGATACAAACTCAAGGTAAACTGCTCCAAACCTGATTGCAAAAAGTACGACTTCAGCAACAGAGTGGTCAATGCCTGGAATGCACTACCCGACTCTGTTGTTACATCCTCAACCCCCCAAAACGTGAACCTTAAACTGTCTACTGTGGACATCACCCCATTCCTAAGAGATCTGTAAAGGGGGGGAGGTTGCATAAGCGCACCAGCGTGCCTAACGTCCCCGTCCTACTGTCCCTATTGATTTGTACCCATTTCCTGTGTTCATGTCCGTGTTTATACTTATACTGGTTATCTCGTACATGTTTGACGAAAGAAAGAAAGAAAGAAAGAAAGAAAGAAAGAAAGAAAGAAAGAAAGAAAGAAAGAAACAGAGACTGAAAGTAGCAAAGGCAATGAAATGATAGTGAAGCAGGAAGCAAAGGGCAACTGTATTAGTACTATGAAGAAAGCAGTGAAGAACCAGCATTGATCAGGGATACCAGCAGCCTGTGAGAGGCACTCTTGGCCAGTTCGGGCTCTCTGTATGCGCTGCCACTTTGCAATACTAAACGTGAGAGGCTTGATTCTTTCAGATCCTTTTTACTGATATCAGCCAATCACCAATGAATCCTATGCTCCAATGGGGTGTCTGTCTCAAGCAACACGATTGCTCAAGTAGAGAAAGATGCAGCATGAAATGTGAATGTTGCAGGAGG